GGGAGTGGGGGGGAGGGGGGGGGGGGAGGGAATAAAGGAAAAGGATAGAAAGGAAAGCAGAGCCATCACGTTCTTATTACCTATAGTGGGAAAAAAAAGACTTGTTCTTGCTTCCTCAGCCACAATCTCCTCCTTTCAGGCCTCATGTCTGTAATCTTCTTGTTGTGTGGAGATCTCCACTGTGCCTGTATTCCTGTGCATCCTGTTCTGCTGTGTAGTAAGAGCAAAATATTATTATTATATAGGTTCAGCTGTAAATGTTTCCTGCGGTATCCTGTAGCATCAGACTAGTTGCTGTTAGGCATGCCAAAGGTGTCCCTGCTGTCTTGTTTTCAAAGTGGTCTGACAATACTATTTCATTAGAAGCCAGGCAATATTTTGGGATGAGTACAGTGTCCAGTTAGCCTTTTGCTTTTAAGCCTAGAAAATCTGACTCTGATTTCTGTACAAGTGTTTGCTATGTTACCTGCAGAGCATGGAGACTGAGGCAGTGGAGATTCATCCACGGTTATCCCAGGCTGGCACAGTATTTCACGGTGTTATGGATGTGAAATCCTTCGTGCGAGGAGCTAACAGCAGGGGCTTTGTGACCCTTCAGAGCAGCGGGTCGCTGATGCAGATATAGGAGCTGTGCTGGAGGGAATAGGAAGATGGCTGTGGGTTGCACGCTGGTTTATGTGGCTCGTGTGCTTATTTGTGTAGCAGGTTTACGCCTCTGTGTGCAATTTCAAGAGCTTCTATTTCCTGTTCATGTGAACGTGCCTGGCCCCAAGCTGTATTACTGTTCCTTGTCCATCTTAGCGGGGACATCTTTCTTTTCTGCTGAACAGGATGAGAATGGAGATGGAGCCAGGGAGCTGAAGAACATGAAGTCAGATCGCATGAAAGTGCTACAGATGGATGTGTGCAGTGACCAGGAGGTGGCTCAGGCTGTGGATTTTGTGAAGAGGACCCTGAAGAAGCCAGAGGAAGGTATGTGGGGATCTTTGTATTTCCTGCACAGAGCAGGCCGTGCACTGGCCAGGTCGTTCCCTCTCTGCACCACCAAAAGAGGGTTAACAAGCCTGGAGACCTGTGACGGTGTGTGGCTGGCAGTCAGGCAGTGTGGTACCCAGGTCAGTGAGGAGAATTGTCTTGCTGTTGATGTGCTGGCCACATGGAAAGAGACCAGGACTGGCTGGAGGATTAGGCTCTAACTCTACATCCTGTAAAAAGTGATGAGTGGCAGCAAGCCCACAAGAGCCTGTGTCTTTCTCCTTGAGTGTCTGTGAAGGGCATAGGATGGCCAGAGCCTGATCCCCTCCTGGTGCTCCTGCTGCAGTCTGGCTCATACAGACCTGTCTGTAGTGACCCTGCTAGTGAAGAGGTGACAGGCCCTGGCTGCTTACTGCTGTCCCCTCTGCTGTGCTGGTACAACCTGTTCACGTAACTGAGTGCTGAGCTGGAGCACAAAACTGACCTGCCCCCAAACCTGGATTATTCTTCAGCCAGGTCAATCCATGCTTTCAGTTTGCCATGCGACATCCCAGAGGTGATGTGAGGCAGGATCCAGGGTGGGCTTGGCATAGACTACCTTAATCCACATGCCACCTTAAGCATGAGTCCAGTTCATGGACCCTCAGAGCATGTGAAAGAAGATAGAAGCCCCTTCTGCATGCTTCTTTCCTTCTTGGAAGTGGTTTGCAGGGAGGTTGTGAGGCTTCTTGCTCTGCATAGGTTTCTCTGCAGCCTCTGTGCAAGTAGCAAGCTGGACAGCAGCTGTAGACCCAGGCTGAGGGTGGACTGAAGTTTCACATCTGTAGCTCCAGGACTTAAGGGTCGTGTGGTTGCTCCTCTTGAAGTTTGGATGAGACTGCCGTGGGCCTGTCTTTGTTCACAGCAAGTATAAAGCTAGTAAATAACAATAGCTCTAATCTTCATGCAAATTACGTGAGCACACCCTTCCTCCTAAAACAAGCATATGAAATGTAACCGAGTTATGTACAAGCTCTGATCCCACACATGTTCTCTCTGCATGATTTTTCTTCCTACACAATCACCCAGCCCTCGTCACACATTTCACAGCTTCTCAAGCTTTTCCTGAAGAGCCCAGCAACAGCAGTGGTGGCACAGAGCCATTTCCCACTGAGTGAAAGCTTGTAAGGGACCATCTCTGTTGCTTCTATAAATGCGGCAGTGTTTGCAAAACCATGTGTGCAGCAGGGACAGAGAAGTCTTGCATCCTTGATCAGCAAGTTGGACTGGTTCCTCCTGCTCTTGAGAGCCTTACCCTGTAAGGTTACCTTGTTTGCTCCAGCACAGTGTGCAAAGCAGCAAAGGCTTCTTTTTAGGCCCATCAGTGCGACTGAGTTTTGGGGCTTGCCAATAAGCAAGTGTTGAAACGTAGAGACTATTGAGACTGAGGTGCCTTGCACAGAGGTGCTTGTTGCTCACTGAGTGTGGCCCCAGAGGAGCTAGTGCAGAACAGTTCTTGCGCTGTACATTTATACCTCTTCTCTCTGTGCTGTGTACATAAGGCTAAACTCATTTCAATAGGAGTGCCCCTGTTTGTTTTCAGTCTTAAGCAGTTCCTACTGTATTGTTGACACTAAAGCAATAATAGTGATAAGGCTCTGCTCAATAAACACACCGCTGTCCAGCAAGCAGCCCTGTGACCGGGTACTATCAGCACTTTGTTCTGTACGTAACGTGACTGATTGGTGAGCAATGAAATTCCAAGAATGAACTATTGTAAATAATGTTTTCATGAACGTCCCTGAATCTAACCTTGTAACCCCAGAAATGGGAAATCGTTGTAGAGAAACTTAGAATCGGGAATACTCTGCAGAGGTCAGTTTGGGACTGGCAGTTTAAGTCTTTTGTGGTCTTTGGTAAATCACTGCCAAATTTGCTCTGCGTAGCTGCTTGTTACTGGTGAAGTTACACCATCAGATGCCCTGTTTCCATGGTCCTCCTGCTAGCGATTAGAGCCTGCTTTGCAGCAGCACAGGGGACCCCCTTCAGGCTGAGATGCTGTGGTGGCTGCCAGATGAGTGTGAATTTCGGAGTTATCTTGACCTATTAAAGCTGGCAGCTTCAGTAAGTACAGTAGCAACAGGCAGAGCAGGAGTAGATCTTGGGCAGAACAGGAGTAGAACTACCTGACTGCAGCATTTAGAAACTTGAATTAATAAAGACGGAAGTAAGGATATGTGAGCAAGAGGTTTTCTTGGCTTTTGCTGCAGGCCACGACTTAGCTGTTATCCCAGCTAAGTTATCCTGGGGCTGTGTGGCCTGGTGGGGATTGGGAAAGGGTTGTTCTGGAGGAGGACAGAGCTGCAGGCTAGTGAACTGGAGCAATATTCACCACTGTCTGTCAGAGATAGGTGTGCAGGGCAAAAGGGTTGCTGGGATCACCATGTGAGAGCTGGGAGGTATGGGAATGGTGGCAGCTATAATAGGCAAATCCGTTCTGGGACAGACCATGAGGGAATGGTTAATGCACTGTTATCACTAGGTAGGACGTGACCTTCTCTGGTCTGCTGTACACGGCTGGTGAACAGTCTTCAGGGAAAATGAACTTAGCTGGGAATGGGGCAGAGTTACTAGGGCCGGTGTGAGAGTAGAGAGCCAGTCTAGCAAGGGCATGTTGGTGTTTTTAAATGCACCAGGAGGATAAATTCCATTGGTATTTGTTGGGCAATGGTAGAATATTGCAATTTGCTTAGAGGGCTGTGTTCAGTACAATACAGTTACTCTCTGACCATGAATAAATATGGGCTGGAAGTTACTAAAAGACACTCATACATCAGGGCAGGGAAGCTATGGAGCAGAGGCAGGGCAAACAGCCCAAAAAATTTTGAGAGAGAGCTTGGTAAGTTTTATCAACAGGGTGGCATGACGTGGGTGCTTTTGATAGCAATGTCAGAGCTCCCTGGACATGAAGACTCCTTCTTAGCCCTGTGTTTGCTCTTGGTGGTAAGAGGAAGGTTAGGGAGTGGAGAGGGGCCCCGACTCCAACTGAGTACTTATACAGTGAAAAATAACTGTGGTGTATGGCAGGACATCTAATGAGGAACAACTCTGTTATCTTGTTCCAGCTCTTCTGTTTGTTCCTCCTGCAGTTTATGGCTGCGTAGTCCTGTGCTTCAACAGATTCACAAAGTACAGACTCAGTCCTACAAATGTTTGCCACTGGGACTCCTGCAGTAATCACTTCAAAGGGTCAAGTTCTCAGTGACCTGCTAGGTCCTGGACGTGTAAGGGGCTCAGTGCAGAAGCTCTTGGTAAGTGCAGTCAATTTAACTTTGACAAGACTGCATGCACAAAAGACATTCATTTTTAAATTCTAGTAATTTTAAGGGTTGGTTGTAAGTTTGCCATCTTCTGCTATAGTTAGGGTTGAGGGAAACCAAATACCTGGACTAAAATACAGCAGCTGTTAATCGGGCTGTGAACTTGCAGATCAATTCCATGCACTCTCCAGAACAGTGAGTCAGAATTGTGAAGGGGATTTAGAAATCCAAAATATTTGTTTTCCTTTCCCTTTTTTTTTTTTTTTTTTTTAAATTGAGGGAAAGTCCAGCCCCATCCAAATGGCAAAAGCCATGATAAAGTCACTGAGTGAAGACAAACCTGGGATTGACAGGAGGCATAAAAGAGTCAGCCAGATCCAGCTCTTCAAATCCCCAGGACAGCATTTGACCTTAGAGGAGACATTCAGGGAGGCAATGCTTGTGTGACCACATCACTCTCCCTGATGTTCCAAACTAGCCCCACTGGCTTCACTTCTGGTATACCAAGAGTGTATTTCGTGTCCTTACTGGGTTTTTCTCTACAACTTTTTTCTACAAAAGTGCCCAGTTCTTTGTCAAGGGGTGGGGTTGGGTTGCTTTGAACAACAAGGAAGGCTTCTTCTCTGCGACACTCTTCCTTGTTCCACTCTTTAACCATGTGTTTGTTAGCAGGTCTGTGGGGCCTGGTGAATAATGCTGGTGTCTCGACCTTCGGAGAGGTGGAATTTGCAAATTTAGACAACTACAAGAAGGTGGCAGAGATCAACCTGTGGGGCACCGTGAGGGTGACGAAGGCTTTCCTGCCCCTCATTCGCAGAGCTAAAGGTACGTGCTGGGCAGTGTGGCAAGACTCAGGGAGAGCTTTTGCAGCGCAGCGAAGGGATGTAGCTACAAATCATGACTCAGACTGTGCTTCGAGGAATGCCTGTGCAGTCCAAGGAGGGTGTCTGAGGCATGCAGGCAAACTAGACAGCAGGGTTCAACATGCTGTGTAAGCATTTGGTAGTACAGGCCACTCTTGGGCAGTCCAGGCACCTATGCAGCAGGTGCTATCTTAAACATCCCAGGATATCAGAGACCTTTGTGTAGTCCTGGCAGATATGACACAGGACTCCAGGCCACACTTTAGAAAAAGTGACTAGAGGCCAGACAAGATAATCCTGGCTTCCAGAGTCCACCAAGTGCTTATGTTTGGATAACTGAATCTTCTCCCTTCATGTTATTCGATTCACAGATGATTGCAGAGTGGTAGTGGTGGAATAAATGAGAGTCAATAACAGCCATTTTAGATATCTTACAAGACAACAGTATTATCAAAAGTCTTTTTTTTCTTTATATTAAAAAAAAAAAGAAAGATACGTATGAGCAAAACTCTGAAGAGCTTCTTTATTTAGCAAGTGTGGGAGAATGCTGGCACAGCTGTGCTTTAAAATAAAAAAAAAGAAAGATACGTATGAGCAAAACTCTGAAGAGCTTCTTTATTTAGCAAGTGTGGGAGAATGCTGGCACAGCTGTGTGTTCTGTGAGGACAGAAAAAGGTTATATTGAGAAGATTGCTCAGATACCATTTCGAGAAAGCAAGTACCCACTAAACAAGCCCCATCTCACTACAAAGGTAGCTTACCCATCAGGTCAGCAGGTGGTTCTCACAGGCCCTCCAAGCTGCACTTAGGTCTGGAATGAGAGAGCAAAGCCGCCCACTTGTTTCTCAGCTAAAATTTCAAGCTGCAGAAGGGTGTCATGCTCCACAGCTCTGAAAATCCTCTCTGTAAAAATAGCTGGTGAGATTTCAAGGGCCTGTTTGTAAGTGCATCTGAAACCATAATTGCACATGTCTTGTCTTGGGGAAGGACAGAGCCACCCACAGAGGAGTGACCACTGCTGTCACTGCCCCTGGGCAGTGCATGATCTAACACAAGCTGCCAGAGCTCTGCAATTGGCCTGGCACGGGCTGCTGGTGGGAGTTAGGACAATTGCTTTTCGCTGCCCCATAGACAGCAGCATGTCGAGTCTCCTCTCTGTTTGTCCCAGGCATGTAGCACTCTAGGCACTCCTGGCTGGCCAGCTGGGTGAGCAGGCTGTGCTGCTCATGCTGCAGGTTCAGAGAAACCTCTGCTGGTTCTCTGCCATCCAGCTCGGCTCTAGAAGCATGTAGCTGTGTTAGGCAGAGTGGCTGCAGATGAGCTGTTGTGCTTACAGAAAGAACCAGAACGTTTGTATGGCATCATGCTGTGTTGTGTGCTTTCTAGCTCGTAACACTGCTAGCTGGGAGCCTGAATGCTTCTCTAGCAAGACGCAGGAGTGGGGTGCACTAATGTGAGAGCATACAGCTAGTAGCCTCAGAAGATCTGGGTACTCCCCTACTTGGAAATGAGGAGGGAAATGTCTTGTATGCTTTGTAAATCCTTTTTAATACAGGGGCAGGCATGTGTACCATCCATGGAGGAGGTCAGAGCAGGGGCTAGCCTTGTTTGAGTCAGGAGAGAAAGGCTCCTTGACAGGTGATTTGGATGCCTCTTCAAGATTCAGATTTTACAAATCAGCATCATCCAACAAAGCACCTTTTTACTGGGATGTTCTGGCTGCTTCTTCTGCAGCCCATCATCTCTCCCTGCTCTTTTCTCTCTAGGCCGTGTGGTGAATATCACAAGCATGTTGGGACGGATGGTGAGTCCATCTCGCTCCTGCTATTGCATTTCCAAGTTTGGGGTGGCAGCCTTCTCCGACTGCCTCCGGCAGGAGATGTACCGCTGGGGTGTCAGAGTCATCCTCATTGAGCCCAGTAACTTCGTGGCAGCAACAGGCATCCTGACAGCAGACAGCATCGACAAACAGGCTGAGGCACTGTGGAGTGGAGCCGGCGACACCGTGCGGGAGGACTATGGGAGGGAGTATTTCACTCGCCACGTGGCCCTGATGAAGTCCTTTGTTAACAGTGGCCTGAAGGACATGTCTCTGGTCTTGAATGACATCACCGATGCGCTCACTTCCCCGTGCCCGAACAACCGTTACAATCCCATGGAGACCTACTGGTGGGTGAGGCTGCAAGTCATGACTCACCTGCCCACTGCCATTGCCGACTGGCTTTACATCCCCGGAGCCACCCTGTAAATGGCCGTCCTTCAGGCATCCTTCCAGTGCTTGTACGTGCACACAGGTTAGAGCTGACTTAGTCAGGGCTGTTCTGCGCCCGTTGCTGATGCATCTCCCCTGTAGATGCATGTGCTTTCACTTTGTGTTATGGCTTCAAGTCTTGTGTTGTGGGATGCTGAGAACAGCATGGCGCCTTTGATTTTTTTTTTTTTTTTTTTTTCTAATTCTTGCTCTTTGTATTCCCTGCTGTCCTGATTAAAGTTGAAAGGTGTTTTGACTGTGGAGGAGGCAGAGGAAGGTTAACATAATGGGTCAAATATGTGGCTAGTGTGATTAGGTCAGCAGAGTTCTCCCGGTGATAAATTTGGCTCATTAATGGGCCCTTGCTTTTCCTTACAAGGACAGGCTGCTAATAGCAGAGCAAAGCTGTTGCTATGAGATGTCTCGAAGGGAGAAACTAAAATGGGAAACAAAAGCAGAGTATTCCATTTGATTGAAAATGGGTCAGTCACAGCCTTCCATTGTTTCCATGATACTGCTAGGAAGCTCTGCTGCGCTGTGACTGTCTGCTCTTTCCAGGGAAACAGCAACACTGCCTCTAAACAGCCTCATTACCTAGCTCAGGGGGGTCAGATCCCTGCAAAGAAAGGTTCTTCCCTCCCAGCACTGTGGCCAGGAGGTGCCAGCGCCAGCAACTGCAGGCAGGCTGGGCAGGGAAAAGCCCTTCTAATAACGAGTGAGGTCTGAGCCATCCCTCGGTCAGTCCCTGTGGATGCTGGGACTTGCAGCCTCTCTCCACCCACTGCTGATGAGCTTTGTGGGACAGGGTTGAATCTGATGTAGCAAACAAATTTGGCTCCTTAGGGTACCAGTGCCTGAACTACTCAACTGTGGTACAGACAGTGTCCAGCCGTCCCCATGCTTCCCTCGTGTCACTGCCCCATGCTAGGCTCCCTCTTGCTGGTGAGGGAGCTGCTTTTGCTTTCCCAAATCAGTATTTTGGTTTCATCCCCCCTGCACTTGAATAGCGACAGGTCGCTGTGCAGCCAGTGTTGCCTGGCTATGAGCTCTGGAAGGGTGCTTTAAGTGAGATGTTTCTTTTTTTTTAATATTGCACAATGAAATTTCCATGTCACACATGATTGTCCCCTCAGAGAACCTCCTGATAACTGGTATGAGCTGTACTTTTGTACAGTACCCCCAAGGGTGTCTCCTGTTGGCCGTATACAGGGATTTCAATGATTTTTCCAAGTGCTGGGGCTGCCTGGCTTCATGCCTCGTTCCCTCTGTACCAGTGGTGACCACTAGTGGAGCAGCCAGCGGGCCGCGGGCGCTGCTGGCCAGGCTGGGACCCTACCCTCTTACTCTAGGGACCAGCTTTCCCTTCCGCTGCTAAACTTTGTTCTGCTGTGTCCTATGTGAGATTAAGTGGCTGTGAAAAGAGCTTATTGTTTGCTCTTTCCTCATCTGTCTCTGCTAGCTCTGACTTGGAAACTGTGCCGTAAACTTTTTATAGGCCGCTGGCTGTAAATGCTTGGAGTCTGCATGCAGCCGTGAATGCTGCGATGCCTGAGGAGGAAAGCAGGCTTCCCTTGGAGATGCTGTGGAGGTAGCTTGTATTAAAAGTAACAACTACTGGAAATGCTGGCCGTGCAGTTCTTTTCTCTTCCAGATCATCGGCAGATGGAGATTGCCTGGGGTCCAGGACCCAGAACGATCCCACTGAACTGCAGCTTAAGCAGTGTTGTAATCACTTCTGCCCCCTGCACTGTGAAATGTGAGTAATGTTAAGTAGCACTGATTTGCACAGAGAGAAAAATAAACTGTGAGATTTGTAAAGCACATGTCTGTGTCTCCAGTGCTCATTTCTACGTTGGTTTTCCCACCCCTTTGAATCTGAGGTCGGCATTTAATTGGGCACAGTAATTAAGGAGGTGGTGGTGGTGGTTCAGCAGGTAGTGGGTCTGTGGAGGCTCAGTGAGAACTGCCTGGAGCAGAACAGGCAGCACAACCCATTTCATTAGCAGAAGGCAGCTAGAGAGGCCTCTCTGCAAACACACACGCCGTCAGTGTTTGTATTTCATGTGGTTTCCCTCAAATGACAGCGTTGAGAGAGTGGTGCTGCGCATTATTCGTTGCCTCAGCGCTTTGTGTGTAACTAATCCAAATGCTACAGCTGCCTGATAATGAGAATTAGCTCTTCTCACAGACAGAATGGAGACTTGCAAGCCAAGAAGTGTCCGAGGCCATGCAAGGACCTCGTGGCCAAGTCAGGGTTAGGATTTCACAGCATGTGAAGCCCTTCCTCTGCCCACTGAGAAGTGCTCCGGTGAGCTGTCATGCCTGATCTGGTTTCTGCCTGGGTGGGGAGCTCTGGGTGGATGTCTTGGGGCGAGACGAGCAGAGTGCTGGTGCGGGAAGAGCACGTATTGTGTTTCTGTACAGTGCAGATGATCATGTGAACTCTGAGCCAGCGGAGCAAAGCCAAGATGACCGAGCGGGTCCCTTCCCATCTTGAGCTTCCGGCAGCCGTTCAGTGTCCAGTGAAAACTTCGTTCTGAAATCTGTTCCCTGAGGCAGCCAGACCCTTGTTTCGCACCATAGTGTTGCATTAATGCAGGCATTGAGGGCAGATCATTGTCTTGCTGGTGAGTAACAGAGGGAAGAAATCTCAATTCCATTTGACAGCAACCTTCAAAGCTGGAGGATGGAGGAGACAGAAGGAAGTTCAGTGAAATCCCCTGGAAGTCCATGCTCATTGCTGCTGTGGTATCCTACGAGGAGTTAGGCTGCCAAAGGGGCCTGTGGCTTTTTTTTCAAGGGCCAGCTGCTGAGGCCGTGGCAGCGTCCTACCTTTTTCTGCGTGTTTCTCACAATGCTTTGGAAGGCAGCGATGGTACAGCTCCTTGGTGCACCCTTTAGCCTTTGTAAAGTGTTTCTGTTTTCCCTTTCAGATCAGCATCGTTCTCTACGATGACACTGGGAACCAAGGGGGGTGGTCCTCTGTGTGCCATGTTTGCTCTGGTTCAGCTTAACACAGCAAGGGGTCTCCCAAGCAAGCACTGTGAGTCTGGATACTCCAGAGCAGAACTTCAGGTTCTTTGTCTTGACCAAAAACCAAGTCCCAAACCAGTGGCAAGTCCCAGTGTGTGTCCCAGACCTCATGGCACCTGTGGTTCCTGGTTTAGCCCCAACATGAAACCTCCGCTGGCAGCAAAGGGAGAGTTTAGAAGACAAAAAGTTTATTGCGGGTGAAGTGAATAAAGATTATCTCTAAAAGCCAAGAGAAACCAGAAGTCTCTTCTGAGTGGCAAGAGCTGCAGAGGAAGTGGTTCATTTCAGGCAGAGGCGAGAAGCAGCAAGTTGCTATGGAGATCCCTCATTGATAGTCCTGTATGTGTTTATCTCTACAATGAGCTACACAGAGGATGGGAATGTATGCTTCCTCTGGGGTTTCAAAAGTCGTTACCACTGTCACGAGTGGCTGACGTCCTCGGTTTGCTGTTCTGATGTGGCCGAAGATCTCAAACGGTTGCAGAGCTGGCCAGGAGGCGTGCTGTACCAAATGTGAGCTGTGTGGCGTTACTGGGAACTGTGCTCGACAGTCTGCTGGGCTGACGGGTAAGACCCAGCATTTGGAGGAATGTTTGTAGGCAGTGGGATGTGATTTCTCTTAGATAATGTTGACCGCCAGGATATTTCCCCGTGCCACTTTCCTCCCAAGTGGTGGCCCTGTAGGTGCTGTCTGGTTAGTTAGCACTGGCAAAAAAATAAAACCACACAAGGGATGCTAGAGTTAGCAGAGCGGCTGCTCTCCTCTGCCTAGTGGGCCCAAGCCAATGGATACTCCTGTTTCTGGCCAGATGATGCATATGACTGACTCGCGGCGTGTTGGCACTGTCTGCTGTGTAACCTGTTGCTTTGACACATGGGATGGAGTCGATAGGTGTTCGGGGAAAGTTTAGGATTTGAGAAGCACTTCTTGCGTGTCTGGCTTTGAACCTGGGGCTGAGGAACTGCCCACGGCCAGAAATGTTATTGAGAAAAGGAGGCCAGTGACTGCAGTGCTTTCACACACAGCAACGGCCCTGAAAACAGGAGGGGAGATTACCCAGGGCAGCTCTCCTCTGCTCCAGGTCAGGGCCTTACTTCTGCTTCTGTGGTGGTGCTTTCCCTCCTCCCAAAGGTCTCCATGTGGGGACACGGTGCCTCTCAGGTGGGCTGCTTCTCCCGGAGCTCCTTGTCTTCCTTGAGAAAAAAACCCAAAAACACCAGCACTATCAGTAGGAAAAAATTAAGTGTTAAACATGTCAAATGAAGATTAGGAAGCTGTGCTAAAGATCTCTACAACAGCCACAACAGGTCAGAAAGGCCGCTGAGGTCCTGCCTTGCACAGAGAGATGCTGGCCCAGCTGCTCTGCCAGCAGCCAGGGCAGTGCATGGGAGCAGGACGCCTTCGCAGGCTTCCTGCTTCTGCAGGGAGCTCTGCTCATCGGCACCCAGCTCTGCAACAGTGCCACCCAGTGCACCCTGAAATAGGAGTCTTGCTTAGCATTTTAGAAACTTTAAGACCTAGGAAGCCCAGGATGGGTTCATCTTTCTAGCTTGGAGAGCCCCCTGAACGCGATGGTGTCGCGTAAATAGCAATGGCAGCACCTGTCCTTCTGGCTGGGGTTTTGAAACATGAGTTTTCAGCTTCTTGTGCAACCACAACGCTGAGAAATGTCTTAGAAACAAACCTAAACCGATACCAGAAGGTTTCTCAGCCAGCAGCCTGAGCCCTGGTGCTTGGAGAGATGCTACGAATAGCATGAGAATTTGTAAGTCAGCTCCACTGCCAGGGCCTGGCCTGGAGCCAGATACAGTTAATTCATTCTTGGCAGTGCTGGAAGGGCCACAGGGATGCTACTGATAAAGCCGTATCGTCCTCTCCCCTGGCACTCCATCAGGGAGCAGGCCTGTGTCTTCACCTCAAAACAGTGATGTGAAATAATACTTTTTTCCCTGACAGAAGCTTATCAGGAGGCACAAAGTGGCTGTGCACGCGGGTCTCCTGCAGCATGCAGTGCCTTCTCTTGCAGTGTCTTGATAGTGAAGCAGCTCTTCGGAGCACTCAGCAGGATGCGGGGAGAGGGGTGCAGTGACCTGATGAAGTGTGCTGTGAGCACATCTCCCGCTCCAGGCACGCGGGCAGCAGTGCTGGTGCAGAAGGCAGCTCTGAGCACAGCGGTCGGCTGAGTCAGTGTTCAGGTGCAGTTATCACGCACATGATGCAGTGAACATGCAGTAATTCACTTCCCTCAGGGTGGTTTAATTTGGTTTCCCGAGGATGGTTTGCCTCACAGCACTTTTGGCCAACAGAGCAGTAACGGGTCTCTGCCCACTCCCTTGCCCGTGAATGTGCAGTATCACTTTCCTCTGCCCTTAACAGAGAAGCTGTTTGTATTTTGGTCCCGTAGGTATGGTCAGGGAGGCATTTTTCTGGTCTCTTCTGATAAAGCGCATCGTTATCAGGGTATCCTTAATGAAGGAACCCCCGCCACCACGCAGCTTCGAGCCCCAAGGAATCAACATGGAGAAAGAGTCTGAAGTTTTCTGGCTTTTTGGAAAAATAGCTGTACTTTTAAGAGTGAGGGTTTGTAAGACTCGATGGTACTGCTACGCCATTGCCAGCTTTGCAGTTTCATAGCCCTTGCGTCATGAAATTGGCCCCTATACCGTGAGTTTTATGCGTTTGCTTTGAAGAGCACATGGTGACATTTGGTCTGCCTACCAGTTCCTTGCTCTTGCCTTCCCCTGCGCCTGCCTGCTCCTAGCCAGCATGGCACAAGGTTGTCCACCCCCTGAGCATGGCCCCTTGTATGAAAGCTCGCTCTCGTGCGGGACCTGGCAGATGATGTTGTGAAGAGCAGTGAAGTTTCCCAGTCTTTGCCAGCTCCAGCACACAGCCGGAGCAGCTTTGGTCACCTGAAAGTCTAGCAGATCTTCCTTCGCTGTGTTTGCCAAGACATCGATAAAAGTAGAAACAGGTAAAATGAAAGAAAGAATTTCCGCTTTGATTGTAGAGAGGGCATTCAGCAGAGTAACCAGGTAAGAGCTGGTCTGTTTTAATGGTATAATGGAAAGACTTTTGCCTAGGACTGAGATCCAGCACTTCTGGCCCTGGCGCTGCCACTGGCTCGCTAAGTGTCCTGAACAAATCACTCTGCCTGCACCAAGCCCCCTGACCATCCCAGCCATCTTTGCGACCACCCTGCCCATGCTGGAAAGCGGAAACCCAAAAGTATACATTGCAATGCAATGCAGTGCTGTGTGACTCATTTTATTGTTATAACTGATGCCAGAACAGGTGTTATCCCCCTTCCCATAGGCTGAATTACTTTTTGTGGCAGAATAAAAAATGTGGCGTCTCCAGTCTTCTGCGTGAAAGCTGCTACAAGTGGCTTATAAAGTCCTCTGAATTTTCATAGCTTCAGGGAGGAAGGTGCCAGGGTTGAGGGCAGACATTAACACTGTTGTGCTGCTTTTAAATGGGCACCAAGGTTAACCATCACCCCACAGGCACCTTGCCCAGGGACCTTGAACTGCACCTGCGGGGAAAGCTCTACATCGACTTTTACCGTGTAACTCCAGGGCCCCCCTGCCAGAGCGATAGTGCTCCCGGGGTGCTGGTGGTACCTCTCACCTTGTGGGGTCAAGTGCTGTAGGAGAAGTTGTTTTCCTGGTGGGACTTTAACTAGCGTTACTATGACAAACAGTCAGCAGGCTGCCAGCACCGCGCGTCCTTGCGTCTCCTTCCTGGTTTCTGCCTGC